GAGAGAGAGAGAGAGGATGTAAGAAGAACACAGACAGACAGACAGACAGAGAGAGAGAGAGAGAAAGAGGGTGTAAGAAGAACAGAGACAGACTCACAAAAAGAGAGTGAGTCTCTGTGTACTAGAAAAATTCATTACTCATGACTCTAGTACATAAACAAGACAAATTTCTCTCTGATGATCAATGTCTTTCTTGTCATTGTCAGCCCAACCCATGGGTCCATGCTGGTTTTGCCTTGGTAGTCCTGAGGTGGAGAAGCATCTGGTGGTCAGTGTCAGTGACATGGTAAGAAGACTGCCCGGTTTTTTTTGGGGGGAGGGGTAATATATTATCAGGGATGGAAACTGATCAGTCCAAAATTTACTTAACTTTTTGAAAGTTTTACAGACTTGGAAAAATACGCTTATGTACACATGGTAGTAGAAAGACTCGATATTGAAAGTAGGTCAGGTCCCACTTACGGAAAATGACGGAGCAAATCAAAATTATGGATTTCCGTAAATGTACGGAAAATTTCCGTCCCTGATATTACATTTAAGATTCGAAATTTTAATTTGATCACATTATTCTATGGGTAGGAGACTTTGGTATCGTCTTAAAGCTTGTTCATTTGTCTTGCTTTTGATTTTAAAAATTACCGATGTATCTCAAATAGAAGTTGAGATATTTAAGATTGAAGGAGTAGGGGTTCACTTGGTTTCAGCGGTAAAATTAGCTAGAAAATGATCTCCAAAGTTTGATAACTTCCAAAACTTGAGAGCTGTAAATTTACCATTGTTGTGCCTTTAATCAACATTTTTCAATAAAATCCACAGAGCTATGTGTTTTTAAATAGACATAAAAGGTGTTTAGCTAAAAATAAAGATTCAATAAAAATTGCTAAACGGGAAGAAAAATGCTGTTTTCTTTGATTTCATTATTTTGACGAGCGCCTGATTTCACCACAATGCCCCACAAATATTATTTTAATTTTGTCCCATTATTTTATGGAGGGAGAGACATTCGCCATATATATCTATTTAATTTTTCCCTTGGTACCTCTTGGTTTGTTTTTTTAATGCATCTGCTGTAGTGCCTTAAGCAGTATTTGGATGTCTTGATGTGGTTTGCATTAAATATATCTACTTTTTATAGTTGTTTTACTCTTGTTTTAGTCTGTTCCATGTTTACTTTTTAATCTCAAATAACACCTCTAATCTCCAGCACTTATATGACCTTGAATTGTGTTGCAAGTGCAGTAAAGCTCTTACTAAAAGTGAACTAAACTTTATAGTAACATTTCTAATCTTTGGCACTTATATGACCTAATTATGTTTCAAATGCAGTAAAACTCTTACTAAAACTAAGCTAAACTGTCTAGTAACACCTTAAATCTTTGGCCCCTATAAGACCTAATTATGTTGCACGTGCCGTAAAACTCTTACTAAAACAAAACCAAACGTTTGCTCCCCAGGCATACCTGGCCCTTGCCAAGGGTGGTCTGGTGGACGACCATGTCCTCATCCTGCCCGTGCACCACCACCAGTCCTCTGTGTCCTGCCCTGAGGACGTCCTACAACAGATTGACAAATATCCTTTGATGGTTTAGTTATGCTGGGAATCAATGTTTTACGCCCTTGTTGTAACAGTGTATATCATGTGGAGGGCGGGCTGGTGGGGTGGGGGGGGGCCTAAGTGCGTGTGAGAGAGAGGGGAGAGAGAGAGAGAGAGAGAGAGAGAGAGAGAGAGAGAGAGAGAGAAAGAGAAAGACAAAGGGAGGGGGGAGAAAGAGAGATAGGGCGACTGAGAGAGAGAGAGAGAGAAAGATGTGGAGAGACGGAGAAAGAGGGAGGGAGGGAGAGAGAGAGAGAGAGGGGTCCCACCTCCTAAATAACCTAATAGAGTTGAAAGTAGCGTTAAACCCCAACACTTACTTACGTTACTTACCTGTATGAAATTAGAATATGTTGTAGCCTGTGATATTGTTCTTAATATTTTGTTTCCTTTGGATGAGCCCTTCTATGTTTGTTTTTGTTCTTTTGTCAAGACATTGCAGTGTTTGCCTTGACTTTCGCTCAGATACAAAACTTGCCTTCGCAAAATGTTCAAGTCACAAGGGAAAAGTATTGTCTTTTTTGAGAGAAACTTTCGCACTCAACATTTGCAAATTCAGGTAAGCAAATGTTGACATTGGTTCTAAATACACAAAACTATTGCTTGATGAACATATTGCCCCTGGTTGTTTGAGAAATTTTTGTTGCTTTTTGCTCACCTTACTCAGCCCAGGTGGAGATTAACTTAAAAATTGTTGAGTTTTCTCTTAAATTACGGCTGAATTATTTCATCTATGCTTTGTACATGCCTCTATCAGCTAGATTTCTTCATGGGGATTAGTAAAAGTGTAAAAACTTGTTTAGCATTTTTCTAATGTATATCCTTTCTGCCAGTTTTGCCGTAAGCTGACAACGTGTGTTTTTTTAAATTTTGGCACCAAATTTTTTTTATTTGCTGAATCAGTACCCTACTTGTGTGAAAAAATCAAAGTGAAACTGTAACTAGTTTTTGAATAAATTCGAATTCAAATTTTGGAGGAACTCTATTTTTCAGTGGTTACGCTGGCAAAAAACGTCTTTTTCTCACAACTGCTGTGAATAAGAAAAAGGCGTTTTTTCTGCTTACGGCTGAGTTGTGATAGGGCATAATTTGTTATGTTCATTTTTCTTTTGGAGAGAGTATTTTTGTTAGTGACTGTGGTCGAGATCAGTAGTTTTCTTCTTTGCCAGCTGAGATCCCTGAGTTGCTAGAAGGGTTTAACCCTTTCTGTACCAGGCACTGATACATCCCTGCTTTTCTTCACACAATAGTATTATTATGCTGTTGAATCATGGTACACCAAGAGTTAATCACTCCAGATGCAGTTCTGATAGGTCTGTGAAAGAACTATTCATTTTCAGACATAACCCAATAAACGTGTGGATCTGAAAGATTTATCTAAAGACCCATGGCAATTCAATAACAAACTTTAGATGTGTTTTGGACCTTAAGTTTAGATTAAGTAAAAGTTTTACATCACTGTACTTACAACTCTATTACGTTCACAGTACTTACAACTCTTGTAGGTTCACAGTACTTACAACTTTTAACAGGTTCACAGTACTTACAACTCTTATAGGTTCACAGTACTTACAACTCTTATAGGTTCACAGTACTTACAACTCTTATAGGTTCACAGTACTTACAACTCTAATAGGTTCACAGTACGTAGAACTCGAGTACACTATACCTGGAATGCCAGGAGGTGTCGACTCAGAGGTTGACGTGTAATGACCCTCCATTCTTCACGGACGCGAGCTGCTGTTGCACATTCTGCTATACCCATAAATAGGTTACATAAGTTTCAAAATTGGATCCTTGAACCCCTAAAGTAAGTTTGTTGATGTAAGTCACTCTACTATTACGGTAGAACCTATTCAGCTTTGTCTCTGTGTTTGCCCCCCCCCCACCAGGCGGTGCCAATACCTCAAGACTCGGTCCAGGACATCAAAGACACGTTCATGACGTGCGCCGAGGCAGAGAAGATAGAGCTGGCAGAGATTCCCAAGTTTTCCGACATCAAGCAGGTACCTCAGTGTCCCTTAGAAATCCAACGTGGCTGTTCTCCTACTAAATCTCTGTAAAACTTAATCTATTGTCTCAATTAAATTGAAAAAGCCTTGCTTAAGATGTCTCCAGCCTTTTATTTTAAGTGGGAGAGGGAGAGAGAGAATGATAAGGGTGTCTGTGTGTGTGTGTGAGTGTGTCAGTGGTGGAGTGTTGTTTTGTTTTCATGTTTTGTATTTATGAAACGATAAGTATTGTTCTGATTATGAATAAAATATGTAGTGCTCAATGCGAATTTTAGGTTGGGGTTTTATGAATTTTACTGTATTACTGTTATTATTATTAATGTAATCATTATTATTATCTAGTATTATGAGTATTTTTTAATTATTTTTTTTGGTAAGTGTTTTACAGTTGCGAAAGCCGTAAAATACTTACCAAAAAAGAAAAAGATTATACCGTATCATTAATGTTACCATTATCTTTATTGTTATTACTATCATTATTATTAATATTGTTTAATATTGTTATTATTATTATTATTGATATTATTATAATTTTATTGTTGTTTTTCTTGCTGCTATTCTACATTATTTTTCAGTTAACTGTTAAGGAGATGACAGTGGCACTATGAATGTTGTTTTTCCTCTCATTCACGCAGATTGTTCCTGACGGTGCTCCGTACTTTTTGGCGGAACTTCCCACGGGAGAGAAATGTCTTCACCGGATCGGCAAACAGTTTCCCCTACAGTTTGGCAGGTGAGAGGAATGGGAAGACCCATCGGCCAGAGTTACTTTGACGTGTTTTTTTTGGTTATGTGTCCTACAGCTTGTGGAGTGGGTGGTTGGCGGGCGCTCCGGTGTGGGGATGCTCTGTCTTTCTTATCAAACATTTGTCTTCATTATCTGTCCTTTCTTTTCTTTGTATGTTACTCTGTAGTAACGCCTCTATTCTTCGGCACTTTTATGAACTATTTGTGCTTTAGTGCCTTAAAACTAAAACTTAAAAAACATTGAGCGTCCTTATTTCTCCTTCTTCTTTTTCTTCTTTTCTTTGTACGTTACTATACTCTCAAGTAACACCTCTTATCTTTGGCACGTATATGACCTATTTGGGCTACAAGTGCAGTAAAACTAAAACAACATTGATCGTCCTTATCTCTCATTCTTCTTTTTCTTCTTTTCTTTGTACGTTACTCTCTAGTAACACCTCTAATCTTTGACACTTGTATGACCTATTTGCGTTGCAAGTGCTGTAAAACTGTAAGTAAAATTTTTTTAAAACCCAAAACATTTATCGTCCCTATCTCTCCTTCTTTTCTTTGTATGTTACACTCTTGGAGCGCATCTAATCTTCAGCACTTATATTATGATCTATTTCTGTTGCAAGTGCAGTAAAACTCTTACGGAAGCTAAAATCTACCAATCTGCTAAATTCTTTGGTGTCAGGGTGACATTTGTATCATGAGACTGCCAGGTGAAGAAATATTAAATGCATTCTAATGGAGAGTTCACTATCCTTGATTGGGGATACTCCTTATTCATATGCGGGTTAAGTTACAACTTTCTATTTGTGAGAATGTTATTGGCCTGTTGTACTGAGAGAGAGAGAGAGAGAGAGATCTACCATGAATTAAATTTTCTAGTAAGACTTCACAAACTGTGTTACTCTTTTCAAAATTACGCTGTTTTTATTTTTTCTTCCTTTTGTCCCCATCTCTCTTTTCTGTTTTGTTTTCTTTTTCTTTCTCTAATTTTTTTCTTCTCCCCTATTCCTCTCTTTTTACGTTGTCATTTTTTTCTTTCCACCCCCACCCTTTTCTGTTTTATTTAATATCTTCTTCCCCTTTGTTTTTCTGTTCTTTGTCTCTTCTTAACATCAATGCTTCTTCCTTCTTCCCCCCCCCCTTTTTTTTGTGGCAGCTAATAATACATTTCTTTCTCCCTTCATTGTCCAGGGAAGCGCTGTGCGAGCCGGCCGTCCTCAACATGCCGGAGCGAGTGGACTGGAAGAACTGTAAGCTGGACAAAGAGGAGGAGAAGAGTAACGCGGCAGCTTTCAAGGCTGACTTCCGAGCTTTTGACTTCAACTTTAACTGATGGGAATGGTTCTGTGGGGACTGAGGTGGGAGTGCGATTTCAGTGGGAACAGAATGAGAGAGTGCTTACTTCTAGCGCGTTTGGAGAATAGTTTTATGTCATCTGTCTGTATGAATGGAATGTGAGAGTGCTTACTTCTAGCGCGTTTGGAGAATAGTTTTATGTCATCTGTCTGTACGAATGGAATGTGAGAGTGCTTACTTCTAGCGCGTTTGGAGAATAGTTTTATGTCATCTGTCTGTATGAATGGAATGTGAGAGTGCTTACTTCTAGCGTGTTTGGAGAATAGTTTTATGTCATCTGTCTGTATGAATGGAATGTGAGAGTGCTCTTAACATTATTTTTGTTTCGGTTTCGGAAGTCGGGTCTGCCAACTAATGAAAGTGCTGGAAACATGAATGTGACTTGAAATTACGCATGGAAATGCAAATAAACCTTGTAAAAATTTGTTGGTTGTCAAGTTTCGGCTTTTTCACACGTTTTGTGTTGTTGTTGCCTGTTGCCACCTGGTTTAGGTGTTTTGGCGTGACGCAATTTAGCGGGTAGTTGGAGGGTTCTATGCTACTAATACTAATAGGTTCTTCTTTTCTTTCCTTCCTCTTTTCTTTCAGTTTTTCAGTCTAACTTTTTCCATGCAATAAATGACTGCTATTGTGTTCATGTGCTTCGCTTTACTCGAACAAGATACACTGTAGATCATTTAGGAATCAGGCTTTGACCCTGATTGTTCGGGCGAACCCAGGCTGAGAGGGATACAACGTCCCAGCAGAAAGATTGAGATACTCTATGAAATTCTACCCACCGGGAATCGAATTCAGGTCCTCTGCAAGGGACAGCAAAATGCCTAACCACTACGTCAAAGTCACCTGTTCTCTGGTTTCTTTTTCTAGGGAATCCGGGAACTTGAAATGTAGGTGGTTGGGGGGTGCTCTGGTGTGGTTTGCTCCTTAATTCCTATCAAACGTCTATCTTCCTTTTGTCTCTTCTTTCTTTTTTGTGTCTGTTATTCTCTTGTAACACCTCTAATCTTCGGCACTTATATGACATTATTGTGTTGCAAGTGACGTAAAACTCATACTAAAACTAAACGTACTTGAAATTCTAACTCTATGGTGTAGGGGTGTTATCTTTTCTCTTTCCGTATTACTCTCCTATTTTTCTTGATGGTCTGTCGACGGAGGATGAAAATGATAATAATGTTATGTGGGTGTCAATTTAGTGGTTAAGCTACCGGACTCGTAATCGTGAGGTTGCGAGTTCACAAGTTCAAGCCTCAGGCCCTATTTTGTGTCCTTGGGAAAGGCTTCTTTTCTTTTTTAAAGTGTTTTACAGCGCTTGCAACTGCATAAGGTCATATGAGCACGTGGGACACACCTAATATTTTCAGTCGGTAGGAAATTTTGAATTTTGCCCGGGTGGCGGCGAGGCCTACTCTTATCGATTTTAGACCACTAAGGGATCTTTAACGTGCGCAACTTGCACACGGGCCCTCTGGGATTTTTCGCCCTTGTCCGGGACGGCTAGGTGTAGACCTTTCCTACCAAAAGATCAGGGGTGTGCCTGAAAGACAGCAGAAAGAAGGAGCCAAGAAGTAGCCAAGAAGTAGCAGTAGAAAGGCTACAGAAAGAGTCAGGAGCCCAAAGGAGGTAAGGGGGG